TACTGTGTTTCCCTTGATATAAACTGGAAGCTGAAGTAATCATGCTATCAATTAGGGCTTAAGGTAGTCTTTCCGATGATTTGACCAGACATCAGTATGAATTTTGTGATCATACTTTCTGCTGTGCTCCTTTAGTGCCACCTGGTGACCAGCTTGAAGGAAAAAGAGAGTATGATCCTTGTGTAGTGAGGTAGCTGATGATCTGAGCTAAAACCTTCACTTGAGCAAGATTTTGCAGGTGACATTAGATTTAGAAGTGCTTCAGTCTTTGCTAGTTCAAAAAGATTTATTTTAATACCATTTCCAACCTAAATTAATTCTATTCTTACTATGCACACAATGTGTACAAATAGGTACAAATGTTATATAAACATTGCACTTTGTTAGAAATTCAGTGTCCATTCATGTTATTCATCAAGATGTAGCTAGAAATGGCATTAATCAGTGTATAACTTCTGCCTTTCATCTATTGAAGTCAGTGAGACTTTTGTAAAGAAATAGCCCCTGAATTAAATCCTTTGTTAATTCCTGTTCTTAACGAGAGATTACATAAAATCCGCAGAAGCTATGAAAAATCATGTTATTTTAAGTCAAGTGCAGAAAAGAAGGCTGAACCTCTTCTTATTTCAAGTCTGTTGAATAAAGATACCTTAGCATTAACAGGAACATTAGCATTAACAAGAAAAGGTTGAGCTCCACATGGCTCCAGACTTAGATTGCTATGAGAAATACTCTATATATCATTCCCATACATCCTCCTTGAAAAGCCATTTCCTATACCTGTTCCCCACACACATAGTTCACTTTTGCTATATGAAACCTTTTTCTATCATTACAAGTGTGATGTGCATGAATCAGACCAATTTTGGTGCCTGACAAAATAATCCTGCAATAGGAATCATATTGCATTCTATTCTGTCACTATCTCTAGAGGTAAAAATACTCTGGCTTTGAATGCAACTGAAAAGCGAGGCAGATGGACTGAAATGCCTTCAGCATCTAAACAAGTGAAAAAGCACGAGTGAACTACAGATTCTTCAAAAGTAAAGATGTCAGTGATTAGCCATTTTCATCTCAGGTGTTCTTAATGTGAATTCAGCATTTCATTATAGGAGGTTAATTAGAAAAATAAGGAAAAAATGTCAAGGGAATAAATCATCATTTCAGTTTTATCTTTTCTAACGTGAATAATGGATTTTATTTTTATACCAGATGTGTGTAATAATACAGCTGCATTTCTCCAGTTGCAAGATAAGGACAGAATTAATCTTGGATTATAAGAGAAATTTTATCAAGTTGTATGGCTAGCTCAAGAGGCATTTTATGTCTGGTCATTTCTCCTGCAGAACATTTAACGTGAATTCTTCACCTCTTTTTTTTTTTTTTTCTTTAACTAGAATAATTATGTCTTACATATGGCCATATTTTAGCATTTTATAATTTCAAATGCTGCAGTAAAGATAGAGACAGCATTTCTGTTTTAATTGCCATTTTTCACTATTTTCATAACTTTCTCAGCAGGCTGTCTTTTGGGCTTAAATTTTCCATGCTCTGTCTCTTTTCAAAAGCTATTCTAAGCATATTTGAGTAATCTAGCAAACTCAAACAGTTCTAATTTTGTGGTAATGTAAGCATGAAAAATATTCATTTTTCTCACATTTCAAATGTTTTCCATTTCTGTGACATAAAGCAGATAGAAATTTCATGTATTATTTGCCTGGAAGTTCTTGCAGAGAAAGGAACAACCGCCAAAGGAAGTAGTGGCAACATTCCTAACGTGTACTCCAAAATACAGGACAATGGATTGCTGCTTGTAGCCTGTGGTTTATTTTCACAGCTCAGTCACTAATCTGCTGGCTGACATCAAACTAATCGGTTCTTTTCTTTGAGCTTTCATTGCCACATCTAAAAAAAAAAGAAAGTAAAAAGCTTTATGTCCTCAGTGAAGTGGAGACCTGACGTTCAAAATCACTGTGTAATAGCAGATGCTTTCAGGTATTGTTTTTGCCTTTGTAATTTATTATTTCTTCTTTTTCTGACATGTTTCTTGAAAGGCACAAGTAAGCCTGAATAAGGATGACTATCTTAGCATGTTAACATTTATGTGAATTTAAGATACCTGTGATTATCTACATAAAGAACATTTTAGCACTGAATAATCTATAAAGATTATTTTAACTATACTTATTTGTATTTTTTTACTTTTTTTTCAGTTGCAAAGAATCAAAACAAAAGAAATCATGTACTCAAATCAGTGGGAATATGTGAATACCAGACATTCACAGTGACAATTTGCAGTGCTCAGTTCAGCTTACTAGGCTAATTGCTTGAAGAGGATCAAAGTGACATAGGCCACAGTGTTCTTTTTTTTTCCCATCAGACAAACATTTTAGTTTATGAACATGATTACACCACTTAAGCCTTTATTCTCTGTAGGCTGGACTATTATAAAATGTGATCTGTAAGACCAGACTTTGAATTGATTTAGATGCAGACTTTAGACAATTTCTTGAAAAGCAGGCATGAGGCAGAGGCAAAGGGAATGCATTGCCATGAGCGTATTTGGTCTGTGCTTAAAAATCTGCTTTGACTGGTAAGTATCAAGAAAAGGTTACAAGTTTGTTTTCCCCACAAGAATGGTAAATGAGCTAAAATATTTTATAAGAGAAATTATCTCTATACACTGTGACTTACCAGGAGAATCCCCAGCAACAGAAATATTAATGGGAACAAGAAATGAAATCCAAGATACTTTTAATATATCAAGAACTGGCTGGAAATCAGGGTAGATAGCAGTACTTTCTTCAAAATTGTCCTTATCCTGAGTATTTAAAAAAAAACGATCACTAGAGAACTTGTCAATATGCCCATTGCTTATTGAGGAGAATCTTCTGTTTATTAAACTCACATTTTGTAAAGAAATTGTGAGAATTAGCTGATGTTCAGAACATCAGACATTGCTTCTGAGTCCGTATGTTCAACATGAAAATGTTATGATAACTTTGTATTACATAAGAAGTAACTTAACTTAAAATATACTTATAAGGTATACTTATTGAAATACACGTGGTAATTTTTAAATCTAAAGTTAAAGAAAAATGTGAATATTTTTCAAACTCATTTGAATAGTCTAGGAGTCTGGGTCACATCTGAATATGTGAGAATGCCTCTCAAATGTTGCAGTATTCTAAACAGTTCTAAAAGCAATAATGCTCCTAATTGAAAAGGAGAAAAAGTTCTGCCTACTTAGAAAAATGAAATAACACGATACGTATCAACTCCATGCATCATAGTGCAGTGAAGAGTCAGTGAGTTAGCGTTGTCTGAAGTAACTCTGGAACCAGAGCAATATAGCCATTGGAAAGGTAGAATTTATTAATAAAGATGCATTACTTGCTGATATAGACATATTACCTATGTGGCTTGTGTTAGAAAATGCACTGTTTTTAGCTACTCACTCAGATGTCACTACAGTCAAGTATTAATAATGTGCCCACATTCATTAAGGACCTAATACTATATGTTTATGTTAACACAATGTTCCCAGTAACTTCAGAGCTGAAAATTGAGACTCTAGATGCTAATTTGCAGATAGGATGATAGAATAGTAAAACTGTAGGCACAAGTAGAAGAGCAAAACTGAAGGCAGAACATGGGATAAATCAGCAGCCAAATGGGTGGTGATTTGTGAAAACGTCAGCATTCAAGAGCGTTGTAGGTTTTGATGTGGTTCATCCATGTGTAAATTTACTCATTTATTTGGGTAAATTTATTTTATCTTAGTGCGGAGGTATGCCATTTTAGGAATGTTACAGTGTTCAGGACAGAATGGCCTTTAAAATACATTTACTCTTTCATGTGTTTGCAGCCTGACATGGCAGTTCATTTGCACCAACACAAAACAGTTTATTACATTCCTGCCATTGTCCTTGCCCGGCTAAAATCATGGGATATTTGGCAGTCAAACTAAATATATATATATTTCAGAATCTATAAAATTTGTTATGAAAATATAACATTTTTCTTGCTAAGGACATTAGTCATGGAACCTAATTATGTGGATATGATTGATAAGAGTTTGATGTCATGTTGTGCATGTAGTCAGTAAACCCTATCATGCTTCCCAAAAGGAGGCCCATCACATTTTCTTTTCAAGTACTTGAAAATTCAAACTGAGTGTATAAGTGGGAAGCACCTCTGCAGGATTATCAAAGTTTGGTTTTAAAGAACCTATCAACTAATATTCTGCTATTCTGCCATTGCTTCGCTAATATTCATCCAAATTTCCTTTTGAAATATTAAAAATATATATTTGAAAAAGACATATTAGAAAATCATCTTGCTGGATTTAATTTTTATTACAATATTTCATCATATCTCATCATAGAAAGAACCTAAAGAGTCCTCAGAGTCTGACTGAATGTTCTCTTGTGGTTACTTTAAAAATTTCTTTAACATTATATGCTTTATTTGTGAAGCTCAGTAACAGAGTTTATATTAAGAGCATGTTTCTCAAGTAGCGATAACGATATCTCTGTGTAATCTTGCTACTCAGATCTACACAGCCTTTCATTTCTTACTCCATGTCTGTTTCCCCTGTAGGGCAGGAAAAGGAAATTTCCACCTAGGGAGTTCAGCATCTTTCAGCATCAACGATACTTGTCCAACAGCCCTCTATATTAGGGAGAGCAGGTCAGCTACAGTTAGCACTTAAAATTTATCAGTGCCCATTTACACATGTCTTCTTTGTCTCTGTGTACATTTCAAACAGTGGAGTCAGGAGCAGTAGGAAAGCAAATAGAAGACATTAAAAGAAGAAAGTTACATCTTTTTTTCTCCTCAGTAATTCGTGTAAGCATGAAACTAGAGTTGTTATTATCCATAAATTGTCATCTATCATGAGGTAGAAACATCTTTTTCACCTTGCCTTTGCTGTCTGAGGTTTGAATACTCCTCTGTCAGTAGCATAAACAGTAATGAGATCTTCTGTTTCCTTCTAGCTATATGTTGCCTGTTAGCAATCCTGAAGGTTACTGCATGATTGAAATGGCTGCAGACAGAAACCCTCCTGTACAACACAGACTCCATCTCTCATATCAGGCATCTCAGGTGAGTCTAAAAAGCATCAAAAAAATAGCTGCTTGCTTTGAAAACACAGATATCATTATATTTTCTTTAATATGTCATTTCACAGAAAGCATCCACAATATTTCCAATGATTTCTTCAGCTTATCTGACTCTGAAACATCTATTTCAGCTGCTTAATGTCTATGAAAAGGATGCTGATACTGCAAGAGAAAAAATAAAGTATCTGCAGTGTCAGTGAATTAAGCCATGGTGTTGTTAGGAACAATTCAGACACAGTTCAGCAGTAACTGGTTATTTTTTGTTTGCGATCTCTGTTGTCTTGTGGTGGGCAATTATGAATCATCACTGACTTAACTTGATGCCAGAACTTTAGGACTTCCCTTCTGAGCAGTATTGTAAATATGATTGTCTCCATTTTCAAACCAGCCACTCTAAATCTGCCATAGGCCAGCTTTCCCATATCATGGTTTTTTTTGTTTTGCTTTGTCTCCATTTTGTCACCTTTCTTTTCTCTGTGTTCTAGTATCAGAAGATTATGTTATGTTCTAAGTCATTTTGAACTTGAGAATTTGAACTGTGATTGAGCTTTCACATTATAAGTTTGTTTGCTAGGATACAGGACAATTAATTGTAGATAGACTAATTATTATGTGTATTGTACGGTATGTGCTGTCAGTAATAGAATTTCTTCTCTTCCCAGTCAGTGTCTGGGTGCTCAGTCTGATAGAACTGAGTTAGATATCATTATTACCCAAATTATTTCTGTTCATATCTTCCAGATGACCAGCCTGATGTTCTGAAGGGGAATGTTGTTTGTCTCCCCCTTTATGTCTGCAGCCTATATCTCTGGCAGAATATGTATCTAACACTGTTTGCAACTTCTGTGTAGAGAATCTGTTGAAATGACCCATCAGTGCACGGTCATGTAAAGAAGCAAGCACTACCTCACTAAAAGAAAGACTTACAGGCAGCTGCTACCTTTGATACCATGCCCCAAGATGATACAGCAGAATCTTTCTGCCCCAATCAAGAAATTTATCTCGTTTGTTAGTAAGTTCAGAACTCTTTTCTTTTTGTGTGAGCCCACAGTTGTTTCAGTTCATATGGATTTTGGAAGTGGATGTTCTGGTCCTCCGCACTTAGCACATTTCAATTCATATTTGCAGAGCAGTCGTGGACCAAAACAACTTAATTCCCTCAGGAAAAAGCAGTGCAGAAGATGTTCTCTCTGGGTGCACTTAATATACTATACCACTAAGAGGTATTTCATGGGACCAAACACACTTAATTAACATAAATTCTTACATGGTATATAGGATGAATGTTGGATCTTCATGAAAAATGGTTATGCTTTACATGTCTGTTTCCAATCTTTTGAGAAGCATACAAGCAATGAAAGAAAAATATTATTTCTAAGGGTACTAAGGAATTTTTTCCCCTTAATGACTGACAGTTGGTTCTCTTTACCACTCAGGCTCCAAATGAAGAAAAGCCATTTACTAATTAGCGTTAGAAAAGTTAAGCATAATCACAAAATCATAGAATAGCTCAGGTTAGAAGGGACATAAAAGATCATCTAGTTCTAACCTCCCTGCTACGCACCAGCTCAGACTTCCCCAGGCCCAATCCAACCTGGTCTTGAATGCCTCCAGGGATGGAGCATCCACAGATTCTCTGGGCAGCCTATTCCTGTGCCTCACTGCCTTCTGAATAAAAAACGTCCTTCTTAAGTCTAACCTAATTCTCACCTATTTTAGTTTAAAACCATTTCCAAGTCTCTTATCATTATCATGAAAGTATTAGGAATGTTAACGTAATGTTACCATAATATTATCTTAGGGCTATTAGGTTATTAACAAGATTTACAGAAATTCTTCCTGTGTGCTTCCTGAAAATAGATTCTGGTTTTGTCCATTTAACTCAGAACAGGACCTTTACAGAAAGAAATGTGTATTATGGTGTACTAGTGTGAGTTTGAACATCTAACATATTACGATAAAAATCATCGATGTGAGAAACTGAGCAGAGCCAAGTGAAGTTATTCTGTGGTTCACTGGATCTGCCCCCAGGTCAATGCTTTTGTAAAATAAGTCCAGTAATAAAAGATTATGTTGCAAGAGTAGTGTTTGGTACATCTTTTTTTTTTTTTTTTTTTTTTTTTTTTTTTTAGACACTTTACATTCCAGTCCAGTGCCTTGCTTAATTCTTATAGCAGGTTCACAAACTGAGAGAAAATGTCTGTCTGAAAATGCTACTTACAAATTTTGTCCAAATCTGTGCTGGTTTATATCTATGTTTGACAAGGGAGAAAGTCAAGTGATATGAAATGAATTTGACAAGTGCTGAGCTGATGTCTTCGAATTCCTTCCACATGAAAAATTTGATTTAATTTTATCCATGCTCTAAGAGATGTAGGGTTGGGGTTTTTTTCTTATTTTCTTTCTAAATGAAAGGCATTGTAAATGGAGACATTTGTGGTCATTGTATCTCCAAATTTCACTTTAGATTGTCAGCAACATAGCTCAAGCAGTGATAAAAGCCATTCGAGAACAGCAAAACACACTCATATCGATATGTGAAATGTAGATAAATTGATATGGTACTTTCCTCCTTCTGCTCCTAAATCTTACAGTTGGTGTATGGATATTATAGAAGAGGACTCCTTAACTATAATTTATCTCCTTGTGTAAATGATCGCCTCACTTTACAAACCCTATGATATATCTGTTTTTCTGGTGACTTATTCATAGTTGACTGCCTGTCACTCTGTTTCTGGATTGGTTGTATTATACATGTAAATGCATCACAGAATGATATAGTTATTATATTATGGTCTTTTCAATTCTAGACAGACATCTGGCAAAAGAACTTAGTCATGTTGAAACCCAGTGTCAGAGCCCGTGAAAGTCAAGCACCAGCCTTATAAGTGGCATTTTCCATGCGTAATTAGTCACTTAAGAGAACTTTTGTAAGTGATGTATAAGGATTTATCTCCTAGATCAGGTAGCCCAAGAACACTGATATGACTGGGTCAGTCCCAATATAAACTAGTTGTGGGTATTTCTTCGACATCTTTATCAAGGATGCTCTAGGCATTTGTGACTCAAGAATTTACTAAAACTTTCCCTTTTCTCCTGGTCTTCATTATTGTGGTCTGATGTATATCTTGTCACTCATTCAAGAAATGTAAAATCTTGATTATATAACTCCTTTATCTTGGTTTCCTGTAGGTTCCAGATCATTAAGAAAATCTTTATGTATAGTGTACATTTTCTTCTATGTTCCTGTGCCAGCTCTTAAACGAGACTGTAAAACTCATGGTTATACAATGATGGAAACATAAAGAAAAGCTTATTGTGTTCATGTTCATTGTGGATAAGACTGGAAATTGTAATTTGTTTTTCATGGAATGTTACTACACAGTTTTACATAAAAGTCTATTTACATCATGTAAAATGAAAAAAAAAAAAAAATTAAAAAATCCTTCAAGCCAATGACATAGTTTTTGGCCATCTTTAATTAATGACTATTTCCATTATTTCTTGTTATTAATGCTCCATTATTTTATAGCAACATCACAAACTACATTCTTTTCTGATGTTTCTCTTATTTCTGCAGATCACCTTTGGACCAACCTTTCTTGGGAATGTTCCTGTTCACAAAGAGGTTCCTGAATGTGCTGGGCACATACATGGCTATAGAGGATGCATTAGGGATTTTCAAGTAAACAACAAAGAATTTTTCATCATAGATGATGCTCTTGGAGGGAAGAATGTTGAGAACTGTAATGTTCCAATATGTGATTACCATCCATGTCGCAATGGTGGAACCTGCATTAGGTAAGAGTTAGCATTTTGTCATCTCTTTGTAGCTGGCAGGTTCATCCTTAGTAGAAATTATTATACTTTTCTGTGTAATAAGCAATAACTTAACTCCTGTCCTGATAATGTTAAATAGGAAATGTTACATCTTCATGCCTAACCAAAGAAATTTTACAACTTCTTTGCTTACGTTAAGACAGATATAAAATGTAATTACACTGTACATGGTGCATGTGTAGTGAGTTGCTGATAGAATTCCTTCAGGATCAGCTAGTTCCCCGGCCTAGCAACCAGTTCAGACTCTTTTTATAGGTAAGACAAGATCACATAACACCTTCTTCTTCTGTCTGACAACTCTATATCTTGCCAGACCTGTACCCACACCCGTATTCAAGGTGTTCTATGTAGACAAGTTGCGTGTCTTTGTGACCATGCTATGAAAACACCAACAAGCAAGTCATCACCTTCAGCAACCGTGAATAGTATTCTCAAAGAAGATAGGAAAGTTAGACTGCATCATGATTAACCTCTAGGTCCCTAGTGGTGTCCTTGAACCCCTAAGTGAGGGTCAGAGAAGCAAAATCCCTCTACAAGCAGAGCAGTGCTAGCAGGGCAAGTCCAAGAGTCAGAATTGAGTCAGAGCAATCCCAGATATGTGTAGAGACTGGGAGAAGAATTCATTACGAGCAGCCCTGTGGAAAAGGACTTGGAGGTCTGGTGGGTAGAAAGCTGGACATGAGTCACCAGTGTGCACTTGCAGCCCAGAAGACTAACAGTATCTCTGGCTACATCAAGAGAGGAATAGCCAACAGAGAGAAGGAGGTGATTGTCTCTCTCTGCTCTGCCATTTTAAGGCCCCATCTGGAGTACTGTACCCAGGACTGGAGTCCGTACCTCAATAAATATGTGGAGCTGTTGGAAGGGGTCTAGACGAGGGTTGAGGCACCTCTTATTAAGAAAGGTTGTTTGCTTGGGACATGCTCTAGCTGTAGCAAAACCAATTATCTCTTGAGATTTGGAAGTCCCATTTGGATACATTACTAGCTAGGGATCTTCAGAGAAGTAATCCCTACATTCCAAAGTCCTGATGCTTCATTTTGCTCACAGTGTGTGCAATGCAACTCCATCACTGTATACTGTGTAATGAACTAAGAGAAAAACAAATTGCTTCTGCTTCTCTGAGAAGTGATGAAATTTATGCGTGTGTCACATCTACAAGTCTCACTCTTGACGAGTCATGTACTTATAAACCCCTTTGGGGTATGCTTCACTTTTTTCTTTACTGATCTTGTTTTCCACAGCTTTCATCATGCTGAAAAAGTGTGGAAAAGCAATAACTTGCATACCTTCTGATCAGCCTTGGGAGATCTGGCTCCAGAACATCTTTAATCTGATGAGCAATCCACAAAGCTTGTTCTTCTGAATCTGTTGTCTTAAAAAATAAATTGAGTGTTTCAGTGGATGAAGCATCTTCTAAAAGGAATGGTGTGCTATATACTCTTCCTTCCAAGCAATTGCTGCTAATACTATTTAGTAATCTATTTAGTAATCATACACAGTTTACAAATTCTAGCTAGAAGACAGATCCAATTTTAAAGCAATAGTACTTACCACCTTCTTTCTTCAGTGCTTTGGTTACAAACATTCTTTGATAACTCTTGCAGCTGAAAGGTATTAGCCTCTCCCTTAGTTCCACAGTAGTTTATTAGTTGCTTTATCCTAGCAACTATTTGATAAACTAGTATTCAGATTTAGAGGAATCCTGTTGTAATTACAGCATGTCATGTGTGGAGTAGGAGAACTGAAAAACCAGAAGTAAACATTTTGTGTATAGTTTCTAGTGTTCAAGTAGTATGTGTGGACTATAATACAGCATGGTTATCTTCAGATGTATGACTGCTGCCAACAAGAGCCCTAAATAATATATGGTGCTAGAATGTACAGGGCAAGGTTTTGATAGTGGGTGGGGCTACAAGAAATGCCTCCAGTTATAAGAGTCTAGAAACTATCTAGATAAGGGTAGGCTTTAGCTGGCTCCCAAAAAGGACCTACAGCTTCTAGAGCTAAGCCATGAGCAAGAGAGAAAGCTTGAGAGAGCACAAAAGAAACTGGGAGAACTAAGTGAGAAAATGGGAGAGAAACAGCACGGCAGACAATAGGGTCAGTGCAGAAGGAAGGCAGGAAGTGCTCCAGGTGCAGAGCAGAAGTTCTCTGCAGCCAGGAAAGGCCCATGGTGGAGCAGGCTGTCCCCATGGGGATCTTTACTGGAACAGTACGGTCCCGAAGGATGAGTACTGTGGTATGGATCCACACTGGAGAAGTGCTTGGAGAGTTGCAGCCTTTGGGAAGTCCAGCTTGGGAAGAACTGCATCCTGTGGGAAGAATCTCACATGTAGTAGGGGGCAGAGTGACCATGGAGGAGTGGCAGAAACAATGCAGTACGAGCTGACTGCAGCCTCTGTTCTCCTCTCCCTTCACTGCTCAGGGGAGGAGGTAGAGGAGAGTAAATGGGAGGGAAGGTGTTTTTAGTTTGCTTTTGGTTCTTGCTGATGTAGTCTGTTACCAGTAGGCAATAAATTACATTAATCTCCCTTATGCTGAGTCTGTTTTTCCAGTGATGGTAAGTGCTGACTGATCTCTCTGTCTTATTCTCAGCTTATGAGCCTTTTTTTCCCACATATTTGTGTTTACACAATATGTGCTGTTTACAGGGAGGAATGAGATAGCAATGTGGTTGAGCTAAGCTGACTATCATTGTTAAACCACCATCTCAACAGTACTAAAAACATTCCCATCTCCACCATTAATTGTATTCATTTACCTACTTACTTCTGAGAAGAAAAAAAAAAAAAAGAAAAAAAAACCTTAATTGTAGTTAAATCTTTTTTCAGATCAGAAAACAATCTGACAACTCTTATAAAGCTGGTTTAAGATATTGCCAGTTGTTTCACTTAGCTGTTTAATGGCAAAAAAAAGCCATTTTTCATTGCATGTTATTCTTTGTGAATTTGGCAACTAATTGGGGCTTTTGCTTCTGAAAGGCCAAGTGTTATATAATGAATAACTCAGACATGTTTTATAATGAGGAATGAAGCTTGCTGTACATAGACAGGTGTGTTTCATAAGAAACATCTTTTACCCTCATTCTTAAATGAAAGTTACTTGCCTGACAAGGATTAGACAGACCAATGAGTTGGAATGGCCAACCACGGCAATGATGGGTCACACAGTCACCATTTTGCCACAGTATAAAACTGTGTGTACGAAAAAAGCCATTCTGTTTCAAATTGCACTGTATCAGTTTTAGTCAAATCTAAATTTCTGATTCTTTACATAACAGTTATTTTGTTAGTTTTTTAAAAGAAAGTATTTTCTTACCTTTGTAAATACCCTATGGCTTGTAGAGGCACTTTTGCAAGTTTACTAGCTCTTTTACAGCATTTTCTATCTGTGCTCAAGTAGAATGCCAGAGACTGGTTAATTTCAGAGGGGAAAAAATGACAACTATTCAGTAAATGTAGTGTCATACAGTTCTGTGAGTGATTCTGTGAATTCAGTGTTCACTGGATTTTAAGTATGAATTTGGAGGGCGATTAACCTTGGAAGTGCTAAACATTCTGTGTTGCCCCCTCTTCATGTGAGCCAGATGTTGCAAACCAAGACTAGTGTTAATTAAAAAGTCACATCTGTGTGTGGGAAATAAATTCATAAAATTAGCAGTGATTTGACAATTGTGAGCCACTACTCTTGTGGCAGTTGATTAATGCATTTGTTTTAAATTGTATAAAGAAAATGTAGACATAGACAAGTTGTTTTTTGTAGCGAAGAGTACAATCTCAGAGTTAATTGCTCCCACAAACAATCATGTTTCCAGTGTCTCAAACTATTCTCATAGCGATTACTCTTACTGTTTTTGTTCTCCTTGTATTGGTGCAGCAGATGGGTCCATTAATGTTAATCAATTAACTCAGACTGAAAAATCAAACTCAATTAGCAATAAATTTCAATAGAGAGACAGTTGTCTTCAGATTCCAACCACAAGGAATGCCATGTGCATCAAATATGCAAGGAAGTCAAATTTTCAGTTTTGGTACCTGGCAGCATAATAAATATCTTTGTAGAAGTTTAGGTATTTCACTTGGAAAGTAGCTTTTCTACCATGAACTGTAAAAGTAATATTTTAAATTATATTTTAGAAACTGTTTTCTGCACACTGGAGGACCATGCATTTCTTTGTAAGACTTAGAACTGATTCATCAAATTATAAATTAAATCCTAAACATCTCCCAGAGTTCATCTGAAAAGGTTGTAAATGTCTTTTTAAAAAGTGGAAAATGAGTTCTAGATTAGCTTTGTGGAAAGCAAAAGAAAATGTTATAGTGGAACTTGATATGTGATAAAATTCCATGTATTGCAGCTGTTTAAAGGAGAAGGTAAAGTGATTGAACAAGTGCCATGGCTCCTTGTTTGTATATATCCTCAGTCATTATGACTGTGACTGTTTTTTATAAAAACAACTTAACTGAAGACCATGGAGACTAAAATGTAATTTTGCTTTTTTTTCTTCTTGTTTTCTATATAAAAGAGTAGTCATGGTGAATCTTTCCCATATCATGCACTAGAAATGATTCTTGTGCCTGCTTGTGCTCATGTATCAGAAATACACATCAAGTCAGATTTTAGCTGAAGGAATTCATCGAGGGTAGTCTTTTATTTCCTTATAAGCACATTTCTCACATTTTTAGCACACAGCTAGAGTTTGCTTCTGGTTCACATAATCTGGTTTGTGTTGTTTGAATTAAAGATGAAGTTGTCACATAAGAAAGTTCCCATTTCAAAACAGAAACCATTGAAACACCTTCCAGTAATGCTAGTAGTGGTGCAGGCTAACTTTTGAGAATTCCTAAAGGATTTTCTATCGCAGCTTTATATGTAGAGCAAGAAAGGAATCAGATATTTGGGAATGGCAGGACTGATCACACTTACACTGATCTCTTATTGGTCTGTTTAATGAACTA